TGTTTCCCACCGCCATCACCACTATCACCACCACCACCACCAGCACCACCACCACCAGCACCACCACCACCACCACCACCACCACCACCACTACTACCACTACTACCACTGCATCGCCATAAAGCATCGTCTTACAATGAAAAGAATAACCGTTTCCCCACCCCCGAAACCATAAAATACATCACTTTTCGACTCCCCACCGCCAACGCCATAAAAAAAAACTTTTTCTCCACCACCATCACCACCACCACCATTATCATAAGCTTCTTCACCGCCCCCATCCCATAAGCGCCGCCACAAACCTCATTACTCTGATCATAGCTGCCATCATTATTGTCATTATGACCATCACTGCTATCATCATGGCAGTCAAATTTTACTATCACTACAACTATTATTATTATTATTATTATTATTATTATTATTATTATTGTCCGAACCTTCCTATGAAGGTCTTTATAATCACCTACCTTTCCCTGAACGGCCCCAACCTTATTTCATCCGGCTACCGGCTTCATTGTGTTTCCGTTCGCTTTTCACAGCGTCATTATACGACTTGTGTGCCAAGGGTTTGTGGCGCGTTTCCGCCATCTCTTAAAAGTCCGTTCTACGTCATTAGGAGTTCCTTCCTGTTGTTCAAACAAAAAGATGAAACATCATCAGGCCAACGAAAGTGCACATACATGCGTGTGCACGCATACGCACATACATGTTCACACAGAAGCAGAAGAGAGAAGACGCACGTATGCACACACAGAAAATGAGAGACGCGGACGATACGACAGACAAAATTAAAGCACAAATAAATGGTCACATGACCTAATAGGAATGTAGATTCAACGCAACATATCTGTTCATAAAACGAAACACATGCATATATTGACATAATCACACCTCCCTGCATGTTCTTTCATAATCTCCGTTTTGAAAGTGTCTAACTTGACTAGCTCTTGGGCCTTAGGTGAATAACTGAAAAAAAAACAAACACATTTGTTATTACTCTAAACGTTATTATTAGTGGATATTGGACACCCTGATGTGATGTGTGCATGAAATTGCGCCCCCTTTTTAGGCGAAATCACTTTCTAATCTGGTGTGCGCGCAGGCTAAACAGTCTAAAGCAGGTTGGAACAGACGGTGCTTACCTCGACAAAGCGGGGGGGGGGGTAGGAATGAGCCATACCGGAGAAAACATTTTCTTTGTTGAGTGTATTGAATGCGCAGGCCCGTAAACGTAATTCACACTGTTAAAAAATACAAAAAAATGAAAAAAACAACAGCTCGTCTATTCAAACACGTGTATCCACTAATAATAATGCTTAGAGTAATAAGAAATAATATGAGATTAAAAATAAGATCCGTTATTCGCTCAGAAATTACAGACAGACATCGACACATCGCATAGAAAAAGGAAAAATTAACAAGGGCACGAACACAGAGCACCCATTAAGGAAAAACAAACTCACTTAACAATGGTAATTGCTGAATTAATTCATTATCAATCATCCTATGGTGATGCGTCAACATACTATCTATATAAAGCAAGATATACTTACACGTGTTGCTACAAGTAGACAAAGAGACTCGCACAGACAAACGCCAAAAGGCCAAAAGAAACCACACGCAGAAACACAACTACCCAGGAGCGGACATATAAGCTCTCCTATCCAGGGCCATGCACAGGAACTCTCCTATCCAGGGGCGTACTACAACTCCAGAGTGAACATAGAGACTCTCCTACCCAGAGCCTTATCAAGAAACTCCTACTTTGGGGCATTCATTAAAACTTACTACCCATGGGCGTACATAGAAACCCACCTACTCTGGAGGCGTATATAGACACTCTCCTAGCCAGGTTTGTACATAGACTCTCCTAGCCAGCGCCGTACAGAAAAACTCTCCTACTCTGTGGCATTCATTGAAACTCTACTACCCAGAGGCATACATAAAAACACTCCTATCCAGAGGTGTAAATAGACACTTTCCTACCGATGGGCGTACATAGACATTTTCCTATCAAAGGGTGTACACAGAAACTCTCTTACCCAGGGACATACAGAGACACTCTCCTACCCAGGATAGTACACAAAAATTATCCTATCCTGGGGTGTACACAGAAACCCTCATACCCAGGATCATACATAAACTCTCCTACCTAGTGGCGTACAAAAGATGGTCTCCTAGCCACGGTGACAGGAGCATTTGTTACCCAGAGGCCTACACAGAAACTCTCTTACCCAGAGGCATACATAGAAATTTTCCTACCCAGAGACATACACAAAAACTCTCCTACCCAGAGGCGTACATAGATTTTCTCCTACCCTGGAGCATACACAGACACTCTCCTACCCATAGAAGTACATAGAAAATCTCCTATCCAGAAGCGTAAATAGTCACTCTCCTAAGCGTACATAGAAATTTTTCTGCACTCTCCTTACTCAGGTGCGTACATAGACACTATCTTACTCAGTTGCGTACACAGAAACTCTCGCACACTGGAGCGTATATAGAAAGTATCCTACCCAGAAACATAGAAATGCTTCCACTCGGTGGCGTATATAGACACTCTCACCCTCATTGGCGTATACGGAAACGCTCATACCCAGGAGTGTACACAGTAACTATCCTACCGACTGACGTACATTGAAACTCTTCTACCCAGGACCGTGCACAGAAACTCTCCTAGGCAGGTACGTACATAGATGCTTTCCTAACAAGGGTCGTACATAGAAACTCTCCTAGCCAGGGGTGTACAGAGAAACACTCATACCCAGGGGCGAATACAGACACCGTCATACCTGGGAGCGTGCACAGAAACTCTACTAACCAGTTGCGTACAGAGAAACACTCCTATCAAGGGGCGTACATAGAGACTCTCTTAGCGAGGTGCGTTCACAGACACTTTTCTACCAAGGAGCCTATACAGAAACTCTTCAAACCAGCGGTGTACATAGACACTCTCCTACGTGGGGGCGTACATAGAAAATTTCCTACTCAAGAGCGTACACAGGCACTCTCTTCCCCAGGTGTGTACGTAGACGTCCAGAGGCGTACACAGAAACTCTTCTATCCAGTGGCGTACACAGGAACTATCATACGCAGATATGTACATAGACACTCTCCCACTCAGGTGCGTACATAGCAACTGTTCTACCTGGGAGCGTACACAGATACACTCCTACTCCGGGGCGTAAACAAAAACTCTCTTACCCAGGAACATACATAGACACCCACCTCTACCTGTCGACGTATACAGGCACTTTCCTACCAAAGGACATACACAGAAACTCTCCTACCGATGGACGTACACAGAAACCATCATATTCTGGAGCGTACATAAAAAAACTCTTCTACCCAGCGGCGTACATAGAAAATCTCCTACCAAGTGGCGTACACAGATACTCGCTTACTCAGAGGCATATATAAACACTCTCCTGTGCAGAGGTGTACACATAAACTCTCCATTCCGGCATGTACATAGAGACTCTCCTACCCAGGGGAGTAGCTAGAAACTCTCCTACTCTGGGGAATTCATTGAAACTCTACTACCCAGGGGCGTACATAGAAACCCACCTACTCAGGGGCGTACATAGTCTCTCCTAGCCAGGGGCGTACACAGACATTATCTTACTCAGGGGCGTACACAGAAACTATCCTCCCCAGGGGAGTACATAGTAACTATCCTATCAGGCAGAAGGAGATCACAAACACCCTCACAAAAGTGCGTAACAAATCTGATTGTAAATATCATGAGTTATAGCCGCATACTGCCATTTTCATTGAAGACTTCCAAAAATAGCAACATCAAAAACGGGTAGCTCATCTAACTATAAGGGAAAAGGAATGATGTAATCAAGCTGTCGACTTTCCGAATTAAATCAATCAAAAGATTAGGAAGGAAACTCCCATCAGTATTAGAAAGAGCGATAACAGTGGACTTGAGACACTTGGAAAACAGTTTTAACTGAAAGATTTTAAAATTTATCAATGCAAAATGCTCGGTCAATGAATGCCGAATGTTTCCTGTATAGGAACGACTCAACATTACCAACTATATATTAATGCACTTGATCTTTGTATTGTGTGTCCTACGTTTAGTATCACAGATATTGAGAAGGAAACAGAGAGTGGGGCATAGAGCGTAAGAGAGAGAGAGAGAGAGAGAGAGAGAGAGAGAGAGAGAGAGAGACTAAAATAGAGTGCGACACAGAAAGAGAGAGAGTGGAGTGGGGGTCATATTAGATAAAGACAATTGTTTATAATGAGTGAGGGTTGCAGACATTTCAGTGTTTTTAAGAGAGACTACGCCCCTATTTATATAAGACCCCGAGAATGGTTATGGGTAGAAACGTACAGAATGATATTTTAAAAAAACTATTAGAAAATCCGTCCAATTTACATGAGTCCGGCTAGTTAACATCATTATTATTATTATTATTATTATTATTATTGAACGGGAACCAACAAAGTGACGCCACGGGATATACTAAGTCAAACATACCCATCAAGACGCCAAGTTTGAAAAGGGCATACCAGATATATGCATCACAGCCGAATGCACGCGATATGGCGACAGGCTTTGATAAAAGCAATATACAACCTTGCAGGTGGGACCCAGTTATAAATTCTTTTGTCGAGTAACCCAATCAGTTCAGTTAGTCCCCGATTAGGGGTGTTTCTATGTATACAGACGTGACTCCCAAGTCGGCTCGGCTGCCTCATCCATATAAGTTAGAAATCCGGCCATGATGCTTTCCTAATTCTCCCGCTAATGAACAGAGATGCACAATGCGTCAGCTCCTAGGAGACACGCCCAAGTGCTTAAGATCAGGTAACTGGCAAGTAAATTTGTGGTACTTAATTCAACAAAACGAAACATATAAAGGTTAACAACACAAATCAGTTAAGATCGGAAGTCATGAGGGCCACCCCGAGTGGAGTACCAGGTTTATTTTATTATTACTATTAATATTATTATTACTACTACTATTGCTATTGGCTTACGGCCGTATCACGTTGAAACACCGGTTCCTGTACGATCACGGAAGTTAAGCAACGTCGAGCCCGGTCAGTACCTAGACAGGTGATTACTTGAGAATACCAGGTGTTGCAAA